TCATTATCAATAAGATTTGGCACAATTCTAAATGACACTCATACTTGTTTATTTAGTAATTTGCCCTACAGTATGTTTTCATTATTACAATATGTTTTTATTTTTGTTGGTTTTAGTATAAATTTAATATTGTTTGCCTTGCAATTACAACAAGTTCAGGGCTATTTTTCTGTGTTCGTGCCACAATTTTTTATATTTATGTATGTATATTTTTATATTGTTGTGTTTCAACATTATGTACATTTTCTGGCCGCAAATTACTAGATTTTTATTGGTTTTAAGTGTCAAGTGATTTAGGTGGGGAGCAGGGGGATTTTCTGGGATAAGATTTCGGGGGGGAGGAGGATGCGGGAGGGACGCAGGAAGGGGGAAAGGCGGGAAGAAGGGAAAGAAGAAGAAGAAAGGGAAGGGGGAGGGAAGGGAAAGGGGGAAGGCAGAAGGAACGGAAGAAAAGGGGACGCGCGCAACAAGAAAAGAACGAACGAACGAACGCGAAGAACGAACGAAACGAACGAACGAACGAACGAACGAACGAACGAACGAACGAACGAACGAACGAACGAACGAACGAACGAACGAACGAACGAACGAACGAACGAACGAACGAACGAACGAACGAACGAACGAACGAACGAACGAACGAACGAACGAAACGAACGAACGAAAAAGAACGAACGAACGAACGAACGAACGAACGAACGAACGAACGAACGAACGAACGAACGAAGAACGAACGAACGAAACGAACTAAACGAACGAACGAACGAACGAACGAACGAACGAACGAACGAACGAACGAACGAAGACGAACGAACGAACGAACGAACGAGAACGAACGAACGAACGAACGAACGAACGAACGAACGAATAAGAAACGAACGAAAGAACGAACGAACGAACGAACGAACGAACGAACGAACGAAACGAAAGAACGAAACGAATAACTAACGAACTAAAAAACGAAAACGAACGAAACGAATAACTAACGAACGAACTAACGAACGAACGAACGACTAACGAACTAACTAACTAAAACTAACTAACGAAAAACTAACGAAACTAACTAACTAACTAACTAACGAACTAACTAACAACTAAGAACTAACTAACTAACAACTAACTAACTAACTAACTAACTAACTAACTAACTAACTAACTAACTAACTAACTAACTAACTAACTAACTAACTACTAACTAACTAAACTAACTAACTAACTAACTAACTAACTAACTAACTAACTAACTACTAACTAACTAACTACTACTAACTAACTAACTAGACTATAGGCAAGACAGTACCCCAGAGTATAGGCAAGTCTATAGCCCAGACTACAGACAACATTATAGCCCAGACTGTACAGAAGACTATAGTCCAGCCTGTAGACAAGACAATAGCCCAGACTATACACAAGACTATATCCAGACTAAAGACAAAACTATAGTCCAAACTATAGACAAGATTTTAGCCCAGACTTAGACAAGACCATAGCCCAGACTGTCGTACCCTCTATAGGCCACACTATATACAAGACTATAGGTAATCGAATAGTCCAGTCCAGCAGTTCACAAGATAATGTTATAGTCTGGACTTTATATGTAGATCCAGACTGAAGACAAAACTATAGTCCAGACTATAGACAATAATATAGTCTAAACAAGACTATAATCCAAAATACAGACAAAACTATAGTACAGACCATAGGCAAGACTATACTCCAGACTATAGACAAGACCATAGCCCAGACTGTAGTCCACAATATAGGCAAGAGTATAGCCCAGACTATAGACAAGACTATAGTAGAGACTATATACAAAACTATAGGTAATCGAATAGTCCAGTCCAGCAGTATACAAGATAATGTTATAGTCTGGTCTGGATAATGTTATAGTGCAGACTATAGTCTAGACTTTATATGTAGATATAGACTAGACTATAAACAAGACAAAAGTCCTTCGCATAGTTCAGTATGTAGGAAATACTTCACTCAGCACTATAGACAAGACTATAATACATATTGTAGACTATATACATATAATCCGGTGTGTTCAAGCTAAAACTTAGTTAGCTTGAAAACAGTAAGTGGAAAAAATATTCTCTATTAAGGTATTATTAGTTCTATATTTATAGAAAATTCAAAAATTGTTTTCAAAAGATTTAAATTGACAAAATTTTACCAATTCTCAAATGCCTAACTTTTGCTAGTGACGTATACGTAACATTTATATGTAAATATTAAGTATACTCTAAAAAATACTTAAAAAAGCCATAATAAATCTTAAAGAAAAGTAAAATATTAATTAAAAAAAATATTAAAAAATAATTGCAAAGATATCTTTAAGAGCTTATTATTATATTCGCCACCATAATTGTACTACTTAAAGCCAACCAGCCAGTCAGTCAAGCAACCAAAAATAAATTTATGACTTACTTGATAATGAAATTTCCATAATGTAAATAATAAATAAAGAAAATTTATAATAATTACGGTAATAAAAATGAATTTTTTACACACAAAAGCAAAAAAAAAAATATATAAGAAAAAAAAATATTACGTTAAATATACAAAATAAAGCTTTAAATAATACGCTTATGAAAAGAACAGCAAATAATAATGAAAAGAAAAATTGTATAGTAAAAGGAAATAAAACAGCCCACACAATGACTGACACGAGCCAGCGGTCAAACTGAACAATGACCAACAAAATGAAATAAAACACAGAAAGAAAGGAGACGAAACAGAAATAAACAGCTGATGTGAAAGTAAAGAGAGAACTATTTATTGAGATAATAAAGCGCAAAATCCAAGAAAGTTTTTGGCAAAGAGATAGAGAAGTGTAAGTGAGAGAGAGATAGAGAGAGAGAAAAAGTTTTGTCTATGATAAACAGAGAGTAAATATAGATTTAGAAACATATGCTAGAAGTTGAAGGTACTTTTTGTTAGTTAAAATATAGAGAAGTACTTTGGTTTAGTGTAGGGAGTAATTTATAGAATAGTATAAAGTCTAATCCGTAGACTAGTATATTGTCTAATCCATAGTCTATTGTCTAGTTCATAGACTAGTCTATTGACTAATCCATAGACTAGACTTTTGAAAAGGCTATTGACTAATCTATAGACTAGTCTATTGACTAATCCATAGACTAGTCTATTGACTAATCCATAAACTAGTCTATTGACTAATCTGTAGACTAGTCTACTGAATAATCTATAGAATCGTCTATTGACAAGGCTATTAACTAATCTATAGACTATTCTATTGTTCAATTCATAGACGAGTCTATTGTCTAGTCCATAGACTAGTCTATTGACTAATACATATATTGACTAATGAATAGACTAGTTTATTGACTAACCTATAGGCTAGTCTATTGACTAATCTATAGACAAATCAATTGACTAATCTATGGACTAGTCTATTGACTAATCTAAAGTCTAGTTTATTGACTATTGAATAGTCTATACTCTAGTCCATAGACTAGTCTATTGTCTAATCCATAGTCTATTGTCTAGTTCATATACTAGTCTATTGACTAATCTATAGACAGTACTATTGTCTAATCTATAGACAAGACTATTGACTAATCAATTGACTAGTCTCTTGACTAATCCATAGACTAGTCTATTGACTAATCCATAGACTAGTCTATTGACTAATCCATAGACTAGTCTATTGACTAATCCCTAGACTAGTCTATTGACAAGGCTATTGACTAATCTATAGACTAGTCTATTGTCTAATCCATAGACGAGTCGATTGTCTAGTCTATAGACTAGTCTATTGACTAATCCATAGACTAGTCTATTGACTAATCCATAGACTAGTCTATTGACTTGTCCATAGACTAGTCTATTGACTAATCTATAGACTAGCCTAATGATTAATCTATAGACAAGTCTACTGACTAATCCATAGAATAGTCTATTGGCAAGGCTATTAACTAATCTATAGACTATTCTATTGTTCAATCCATAGACGAGCCAATTGTCTAGTCCATAGACTAGTCTATCGACTAATCCATAGACTAGTCTATTGACTAATCAATAGACTAGTCTATTGACTAATCTAAAGGCTAGTCTATTGACTAATCTGTAGACTAGTTTATTGACTAATCTATAGACAAGTAAATTGACTAATCTATGGACTAGTCTATTGACTAATCTATAGACTAGTTTATTGACTAATCTATGGACTAGTCTAATGACTAATCTATAGACAAGTCTATTAACTAATCTATAGACTGGTCTATTGACTAATCTATAGACTAATCTATTGACTAATCAATAGACTAGTCTATTGACAAACATGTAGACTAGAGTATTGAATAATATAAATACTAGTCTATTGACTATTCTATTGAATAATCTAAAGACTAGTCTATTGACTAATCTATAGCTACACTGAGTACAAGTCTATTGACTATTTTGAACTATTCTATTGTGTACTAGTCTACTATTGAGTACTGTAAAAAGTACTATACTACTAAATTTCCCATTGCACTTAAAAAGTACAATTCCAACATATCCTTTGTCTGTCAATAGCTTGAAAAAAAAGCTTAAAAGCTTTTTCATAGCTCTCTTTATAACTAGAAAATGCACACATCTAATAACATTTGCAAATAAAACAATAATACAAAACTTGTAAAAGCTCTCAAACTGACAACTGTAGCCCACCTTTTAATTTAACACATAGAACAACAACAACTTAACCTCATTATTATGCTAGCAGTTAACATTATGATCATTAATGTAAAAAATACAACAACAAAAAACAATAAATAAATGACTAGAGAAAAAATAAAAAGTTTAATTAAGAAAATTTACTCGCAAACACACGAAAGAAAATCATCAAAACAATAATAAACAAACACACAAATGAACACATACAAATTACAGCACACAACATTGACACACACACACACACCCATACTTATAGACAGCCCACCCAATACAAATTTTCATTTTGGTGCAGCAGCAGCAGCAAGCAATTGTTGTTGTTTGTGCTTCTTCTAGTATAGAAAGTTAAGGCAAAAAAAATAAAAGAAAAATGAAAACAACAACACACAATTTTCGCGCTGAATTCAGTTATCAACAAAACGAGCAACAGTCAAGTCGTCTTTTAAAAAGAACCGAGAAACAAGTGTAGAAAAAATTCTTAGAAAAAAAGTGGAAAATAAACTCGTATGTAAAGGAAAATAAGAAGAAGCTAAAAAATTTAACGGGATTTAAAAAACACAGTTAGATTTTTAAAAGAAAGTAAAAAAAAACGTGTGTGAAATTTTTACAATTTAAATTAAATTATAAGAAAGAAATTAAATAAATAAAAAGAAAATTTATAAAAAATTAGTTTCTTTTTAAAAGAAATTTAAAAAAGAAAAATATTTGAAAATTTTATAAGAAAAATTAAAAATAAAGTAAAAAAATCTTAGTGAAAGTGAAAAGAAAATAAAATTTTAAAATTCTATTAAATTTTTTTATAAAATTTACCAGAAAAAACGTATAATTCTTAGAAATTATTTACTTTGTATTGCTTTCTTTTTTTTGGAAATAAACTTTGACGTTTATTTTTTTTAAATGAAAGACAATCAAAAAGGTAAACAACATTTTTTTTTTGAAAATTAATAAAATTTTGAAAAATTTGTTATTTTGCCAAAAAAAACAACAAATTATGAAAATTATCATATAAAATTAGATGGAATTTATTTGTTAAATATTTTAATTATAAAATGAAAAATTTAACAAACAAGTGCCATCTTGAGTGATCTAAAAGCAGAATTTTAAGAATAAAGTTTAAAATGTTTATAAAATTTTTTAAAAAATACAATCAAAAGTAATTAAAAAATTGATGAAATATAAAGATCAATGTGGGAAAGAGTGAGTTTGTGAACAAATTTCCAGATCTTGGATACGTTAAAACGTCAAACTATTACATCTCAAGATCCATTTCAAAATTGACATAGGTGTAGTGCAGAGCAGTATTCTTGTTGAAGTTTAGATAGCGGAGCGTTCAAGTTCCTCTAGAAATACTGTCGCCAAATAATGCATTTAAAACTTTAAGAATTTTTGTTGGACAGTGGTGCAAAATCAGTTTTTTTGGGAAATAAATCTGGTATTTCTTAACGGCTGATCTGATAAAATTTTATACAGACTTAGATAAGGAGCATTTGCGTTAAGTTTTGAAAAAGGGGCGCCACAAATTTGTGACACTTTTTGTTTTAACATCCGATTTTAAAGACTTATACGATCTTATAAATTGTATATATTCTGGATCCTTATATATAGCAGAGTCGATTAAGTTATGTCCCTTTATGACTATGACTGTCTGTCTGTATGTTTGATGAAATCAATTTTCTGAAGAACTCAAACATCTTCGGGAACCAAATCTTCAATAATACTATCAAACGTGCTTTTGAGAACAATAACAGAGATATGAACAAAAATCCGAAAATTTCGTAAAACATATGAAAGTGAATGCATGAAAACAACAACAATATGCATCTTTATATAGTATATGTTGTTATTGTACGGAGTAAGAAAAAACGTTACGTATAAAGTTATATGTTGTTTTGGAGTTATTTTGGATAAAATCAAAGATGGAAGATTGTGCAAGGGAAAAAAATAAAACAAAATTTTAAACAAATGCATTTGTGCTGAAGTTTGAAACACACACACAATATATGTAGGTCCTACAATCAAGACAATAAAGAATACCAATTGGCTTAGTATCACTTTCAGATTTAGCTATGTCGGTCTGTACGTCCGTATGTCTGTCTGTATGTCTGTCTGTTTGTCTGTTTGTCTGTTTGTCTGTCTGTCTGTCTGTCTGTCTGTCTGTCTGTCTGTCTGTCTATCTGTCCAAGTAAAACTTGTGCGCACGCTACAGGTCGCAATCTTCAAGATAATTTGATAATTTGGCATATACACTTCTTTTGACCCAAACGGTCCATTATTTCAGCCACCATACAATCGTAACCCCAGAATAGTGGTTTTAAGTTCATAATTATGTTAAATGTTTCAGTATATCTATAAAAAGTCTAAATAACAGATTTTCGCAATGATCGGATCTCATTTAACCCTAGCCCCCATACAGAGCATGACTTGAAAAAAATTTTAACGCTTTTTTTTTTTTGAACACTTGCAACCAAAACTCACATTAACTACTTGCTTTAATTGCAAATAAAGTTCTTAAATTAAAACATAAAATCCCTTAATTTACTACAGTGTGGATTCCCTCTGATTTGTATTACAACATTATTCTTTAGTGTTTATTTTAAATCCACACCTCAATTAGGGATAAATTACAAAAAAAAAAAATTAAAAAAAATACAAAAACAAAGTGTTAGTAAAAAGGATTCTGTGTCAATCTTCACTTAGTATGTAAATCCTAGCAGTTTTTCAGGGAGTCAAAGTAAACCAATTCAGACACTTGATATTTTCAAATATAGAACAGCTGATTGACTCTAATTTATATATTTTTGGAGCCATACGCAAAACATCAGTAAACTTGTATTATCTAGTCTAGTCTATAGTCTAGTCTATAGTCTAGTCTAGTCTATAGTCTAGTCTATAGTCTAGTCTATAGTCTAGTCTATAGTCTAGTCTATAGTCTAGTCTATAGTCTAGTCTATAGTCTAGTCTATAGTCTAGTCTATAGTCTAGTCTATAGTCTAGTCTATAGTCTAGTCTATAGTCCTAGTCTATAGGTCTAGTAGTCTCGTCTAGTCGTCTAGTCTATTAGTCTAGCTATAGTCTAGTCTATAGTCTAGTCTATAGTCTAGTCTATAGTCTAGTCTATAGTCTAGTCTATAGTCTAGTCTATAGTCTAGTCTATAGTCTAGTCTATAGTCTAGTCTATAGTCTAGTCTATAGTCTAGTCTATAGTCTAGTCTATAGTCTAGTCTATAGTCTAGTCTATAGTCTAGTCTATAGTCTAGTCTATAGTCTAGTCTATAGTCTAGTCTATAGTCTAGTCTATAGTCTAGTCTATAGTCTAGTCTCTAGTCTAGTCTATAGTCTAGTCTATTAGTCTAGTCTATAGTCTAGTCTATAGTTCTAGTCTATAGTCTAGTCTATAGTCTAGTCTATAGTCTAGTCTATAGTCTAGTCTATAGTCTAGTCTATAGTCTAGTCTATAGTCTAGTCTATAGTCTAGTCTATAGTCTAGTCTATAGTCTAGTCTATAGTCTAGTCTATAGTCTAGTCTATAGTCTAGTCTATAGTCTAGTCTATAGTCTAGTCTATAGTCTAGTCTATAGTCTAGTCTATAGTCTAGTCTATAGTCTAGTCTATAGTCTAGTCTATAGTCTAGTCTATAGTCTAGTCTATAGTCTAGTCTATAGTCTAGTCTATAGTCTAGTCTATAGTCTAGTCTATAGTCTAGTCTATAGTCTAGTCTATAGTCTAGTCTATAGTCTAGTCTATAGTCTAGTCTATAGTCTAGTCTATAGTCTAGTCTATAGTCTAGTCTATAGTCTAGTCTATAGTCTAGTCTATAGTCTAGTCTATAGTCTAGTCTATAGTCTAGTCTATAGTTAGTCTATAGTCTAGTCTATAGTCTAGTCTATAGTCTAGTCTATAGTCTAGTCTATAGTCTAGTCTATAGTCTAGTCTATAGTCTAGTCTATAGTCTATTCTATAGTCTACAGTCTTGTATATAGTCTTGTATATAGTCTTGTATATAGTCTTGTATATAGCCTTGTCTAGTCTATAGAATATTCTATAGTCTAGTCTATAGTCTAGTCCATAGTCTAGTCTAGCGTCTAGTCTATAGTCTAGTCTATAGTTCTAGTCTAAAGTCTAGTCTATAGTATAGTCTATAGTCTAGTCTATAGTCTAGTCTATAGTCTAGTCTATAGTCTAGTCCATAGTCTAGTCTATAGTCTAGTCTATAGTCTAGTCTATAGTCTAGTCTAGTCTATAGTCTAGTCTATAGTCTTGTCTATAGTCTAGTCTATAGTCTAGTCTATAGTCTAGTCTATAGTTCTAGTCTATAGTCTAGTCTATAGTCTAGTCTATAGTCTAGTCTATAGTCTAGTCTATAGTCTAGTCTATAATCTAGTCTATAGTCTAGTCTATAGTCTAGTCTATAGTCTAGTCTATAATCTAGTCTATAGTCTATCCTACAGTCTATCCTACAGTCTATCCTATAGTCTATCCTACAGTCTCTCCTATAGTCTTGTCTATAGTCCAACATATCAGTTTTAAAATGTTTTTCTGTTTTGAACCTCAAAAGAAGAATTTTTAATTGTGAACCTTTCGATTGGTAAACGAAGTAAAGAATGACTGTAATTTTCAAGATTTGGGCCCAACACCCCGAACAACAGGGGCTATATACCAGCATTAAAAACAAATAAATGTAACACAAACTCACAAATGTACTTTTCATAATACTTAATATTGACAAATAAAGTCTTCTTTTTCTGCTTCTCAGACTCTTTGTTTGTGTTCATAAAAAAAACAGCAGCAACAACAATAAAAAATAAAAGTCAAACTTTATCATTAAAAACGGTAAAAATGTTTCTAAATGTGGCATCAAATGTTTCAGTCAGTCAGTCATTCATTCATCTACTTTCTCCCTCTCTACTTTTGTTATTTTATTTCATTTGCTTTTTCCTGTAACAAAAAACCCGCACTGGAAGACAAAATGAAGTGTCAGTCATTTCATACGAAGAGACACTAAAATAAATTCACTACAACATTTTTCTTTCTCCGTACCAGTAAGTGCAGTGTAATGTTGTAGTTGCTGTAACAGGAATACTAATACATATTTACTTACGTACTCATGTTTACACACTTGCACAGACAAATATTTAAGTATTGTTTTTGTCTACTTTTTTTAATACTCTCCTAAACATACACACATAAATATAACATCTCTTTCTCTACCACTTCCCACATAACAGTAAAACTCTTCAAACACGCACTCATCCTTTCCTGTAAGAGTTTTTCCCATAAACTATGAGAATATGTGGGAGCATAAGAAAACGCATTTAGTATTTGTTGTTTTTTTATTGTTCCTTTTTTATTTTTTTTACAACAAATTGTATGTGTGCTTTCTAAATTTAAGGACATACTTACCACTAATGACAAGTGAAGTTAAAAAAGCAGCATAAAATTGAAGAGCTTGGAAGTGGTTGAGTAAGGAGTTTGCAAATATTGTTAACTTCTTTTACTTTTTAAAGTCAACTGTAGGGTGCTAGGGTGTGCATTAGTTTCCATTATTTTATGGTTAATATTTAAAGGGGAGCAAATGTGTGTCTTGGGATTAAGAGTAAATAAGGAGGTTGGGTTTTTTGGAATAAGTTAAATACAGATTTTTAAGGAATGTTTATAATTGAGGTCACTTTTGTAAATAATGTTTTAAGGATTTTATTAACGCTCTTAGTTATTGATATACATATGTGATTTGTTAATGAAATTATATTTTAACAATTAGTTAAAGGCACTAAACCACTCAGAACAATTAAAAGGTTTGTATGTATGTTCGAATATATTTCAGTTCCAGTTCAGTTCTACTTTAGTTCTAGTTCAGTTCTAGTTCAGTTCTAGTTCAGTTCTAGTTCAGTTCTAGTTCAGTTCTAGTTCAGTTCTAGT